AGTGCACAAATGAAAACACCTCACTTTCCACTTGCCTAATAACCCCACGCTAGAGGTAGGAAAGATGTCTAGGGTCCTTTCTAGTTCCTCCTTCTGCATGGGTTGAATCTTTCCCTTCAATGCGTTCTTCAGTGCTCTGCCCAGCCGGGTTGAAATCATGCAAGTGGTGAGGTTTCCATGCTTTGGAAAGCATGTTTCACTGCTTCCTTTGTATTGATTTGCGACTGTGCAAGGGAATCCATCTGCTTACACTGTTGTGTGCTGCCAAAATAGGTGATAGGCTGCCAAAGAAGTCCAGGAGGCCTGAAATCAAGGTGTCCTGCATAAGGAATGTGAAAGTGAAATGCTAAGGGGGTTAGTGTTCTGGATGGATTCAGGTTCCTGGCTTGGGTTTATTCACAAGGAGTCTAATTATAGCACCTTGCCTTGCATCCTTTTAAAGGGCAATGATTTCCCCTCTCTGTAAGGGGTCAAAATTAATGTTTGTCTTGTGCAAAAGAATGAGTGTCCCAGGAGGGTTTGTCTGAGATGATGCATATTTGAGGGTTCGGACTTGTGCCGGTTGTGCCTGAAAAGAGGCATTTGGCTGAATGTATATTTATACCCTTGAGGATGGTTGGGTTGCCATGGCAGTCAAAAAAGAGAGGGAGCTAGTGTATCTTCTGCAGAAATAGCCACATGTTTTCAATATTCCAAGTGTATTTTTAGCAAATGCAGCTGGATTTCACCAGGGGTCTGTAAAATAATCCCTGTGTTACCCCCCACTTCCCGTCTCAGGCTGAGGTTGCCCCCAAGCAGCCCTGACTTGGGTTTCTATTTTTAGTGTGTGTTCATAAATTTAGATTTCCCAGGGTACCCATCAAACACTTTGCACGTTACAGCCATTGAAAATAGGAGCTGCAGATGAGACCCAGACCTCCTGGAAAGGCAAAACCTCCCCAACCCCAGAAGTCCCCATTAAAACACTCTCCTAGCCTCAACCCGTCAGTCCCAGCCCACATGGAAGCCTGTAAAACAGGTGAGTCTCATCCTGAAGGGGGCTGGCAAACCTGGGAGAGAAGCAGGTCCCCGAGTCCAGGCCCCCTGTACCACCACACCCTCCTTGCCAGCTCAACAGCACCTGATTCAGGCCAGGCCAGATTAAGATAGGCACACTGTAGATCTCTGTGCTGAAGGCCCCAGCTCCTGGAGTCACCTGATGAGTTCAGACTACCCGCTTGCCTTTTCTTTTAAATGAAAGTTTTAGCTTTTGTGGCTGTGAAGGGAAACTTGGAAATAGAAACCCAGGGTAACTGGTGCGGTGCTGCCTGCCTGAGTCTGTGGGCAGCCTGACACAACAGCTCTGGGAGCTGCACCGTGCATCTCAGTGGGGTGTTATTGCCAAGACTCCATGCTCTGGAGGTTCCTGTGTTGCTGCCCCTGTGTCTCCTGTGGGGTGGTTCCTTCTCATGGGGTGCTTAGTCCTGCCCTGGGTGCACAAGGAAGGGTGAGAACAAAGACCGGGAGTCCCTGGGCCAGGCACGTGGGCGCTGCCCTGTGTCAGGCGAGCAGGTGACTTGGTCGCCTTCATCCCCACGTACCATCCTGCTGCCCCTGAGCTGGGACGTGTGTCATCCAGGGCTCCAGCCACAGCTTCAGCCATCGCTGGGCTTCTCAGCACCCGCAAAGACTGTGACAGGGAGATGCTAATAGAGGGTCTCCGGGCGGGGGGCAGCGAGCAAGGGCAATGTGGCAGGCGCGCCTCCTGGGAGGTGTTGGGGGGAGCTGAGAGGGCAGACCCCCGGGTGGGCGTTATTGGTAATACAGCCTCGTTAGAGCCTTGGATAAGAATGGCCATACCGTGTCCAACCAATGGGCCATCTAGCCCAGTCCCCTCTCGGGCAACGGCCGGCGCCAGGTGCTTCAGCGGGAATGAACCCAATGGGGCAATGATCAGTGCTCCCTCCCGTCGCCCAGGCCCAGCTTCCGGCAGCTGCTGTCGTGTTGGCACAATCGCGGTGGGCTCTGCCCTCTCAGAACAGGGAGGCAGCCAAGCTGCACAGCGGCATCCTGGGGCTGGTTGCGTCCCCGCCAGGAGGCAGGGCCCCCAAGCACACAGGTCACAGCACGTGGCATGTGTCCCTCTCTGCTCCGCCCTGTGATACGGCGCCAGGCCGTGAGTACCCTGCCCCTCATGCCCTGCAGCGCGCACAGACACGCTCCGGGCTGCCCTCCTACCCCCCACCCCTCAGCCTTGCTCTGCCAGCAGCCTTTTGGGCTTGTTCCTTCCCCAGGGTCCGGGCTAGCTGCTGCCCCAGACCATCCATGTCAACAGCGGTGTGAAGGGGAGATGCCTGATCTGCACACTGCAAATACCTGGCTGCTGCAGCTGCTCCTGCAATTCGTCTCCCCTCTGTGATCACTTAAAAAACCAGATCGGCCCTTTCTCTTTAAGAAGCACCGACGATTTCCAGAAATGTGACACCCAAGCTAGTCTTCGGGAGCGGCTCTTCTCTTGGGCGTGAACCTGATCTGAACTGAGAGGGTGATGAGCCCGTTGGTTAAGAAACGCGGCCTGTTCTCTATGGGCGGCAAGAATGACCCGAGATGAGCTACCGTGTCCGGGGACTTCGCCTTAACCCCCGCGTTCCGCCGTTGCGCCCAGTTCTGGTGGTGTGCCCATCACCGGGGTGCCCGGACACTGCCATTCCTCCAGCACACGGCTTTGGATGAGGAGGATGCTGCCCTAGCTGACAATCCAGCCCCCCGAGAAGGATGCTCGTGCCCCAGTCAGGCCTCACGTCCTTTCCCCCATTCTGCTCAGGACGGGGATCCTCCTGTCATTCCATCCCCCACTCTCTCGCTGTTGGTCTTGCTCCTTTTCTGTGCTGCGCTATGTCCTGTCATCCCGTTTGCTCACCTGTGTCTGTGCCTCAGCTAGGGGCCGTGGGCGGCCTGAACACGGCAGATAGATGGGGGACGATGCGAAGAGCATGAATGGAGGGTCCTGGCTCCTGGCCCTCTGAGCAGTAAGTCACGGAGGTGGGACTGGGCACTTTAAGCAAGTTTTCCTTCTTTGCAAATTTCTCTTCTGCCAAAGCCGTTGCTGAGCTCCTGGCCGGGGGAAGAATCGCACGCTGGCTGATTTCAGTTCAAACGACAGGGGTGGGGACCGGTGGTGTTGAGAAATGTCTGGGAGGCTGCGCGAGCTGGAGCGCCCAGGCTCCTGGAGTGTAGCGGGGGGGGGAAGGGGGGAGGTGATTACTTCCATGGCCTGGCGAATGCTGGGGTGTGGTCCTGTCTGCCTTGCAGAGGAAGCAGCACATGGCGGTGCTGATGATCTCGGCTTTCAGGCACTGGCGTCTCGGGGGCTGTGAGTGTTTTAATGAAAAATGTGTCTTGTTTTTAAGTCTCTGTAACTGCAGCAAAATGCTTTCCAGATTAAACAGTGAATCACAGCGTGACAGCTAATGGCCAATAGTTAAAGTCGAGTACGATTCATTAAGCAGAGTCTGAAGAGAACAAGACACAAAACTAACTTCAAGTGCATGATAGAGAGAGGGGTTTTTTTTAATTAACCAAATATCAAGTTGCTGCTTTTTGAGGGACAGCCGTAGAAATTGTACATTTTCCTGATTTTCCCCAAATTTTCCTGATTTTCCCCAAACTCGCCTTGGTAAGGAAACATTAAGACACAAAACAAAACTCAACTTGTGACAGAATATGTAACAATTTCCTTCTTCCACTGGCAGGGCTGCGGCCGCTGCAGCCCAAAGAGCGATGCACACACACGCTCTTCCCCTTCCATAAAATTCCCTTCTTTCCTAGAGGTGCAGACACGGAACCACAAGCAAAGCTCCTTGTAGCTAAGCTGCCATTGTCTGTGTCTGACTCTGGGCTCACGAGCCCCCGACAGCGGTGCGCCGGTGTGCGTGGGTCTGCTGAAAGTCAGCTGAGCTCCAGAGCCAGAGTTCCTAGGCCCCTCACTTCGTTCTCTGGTAAGGGCAGTGATTTTACAAACCCTCCCAGGCCCTGCCCTGCTATGCTGCCAGCAGCTGCCCAGCAGGAACCTGGCCCAGGAGAGTCTCTGACTCTCAGGTTCTGCCTCGGAACTGGTGGCAGAATAAGAACTCCCGTGCTTCTGCCATGCCCGCATCTTGGGTGGTCCCTGGGCAGAGCTGCTGTTCTGTGCCACGGCACTTCGGGGTGCAGGGGGTCCTGCCAGGGGCACTGTGCATGTGACGCACCCAATGGCTCGGCAAGAGCCCGAGTACCAGCCTCAGGGCAGACTGTGAGAAACCTGGGCATAAACCCCTGAGTGGCTGAGCTCTAACCTTAGATTCCACCATCCAGCCGCACCAAGTGCGGGCTCCTCAGGCCCTGAACATGGGGGCGCAGTCCCGGCCCAGGTGCTGACTTTCAAAAGAGCCGGGGGGGCTCGACCCCTGGCACTGCTCCAGGCCCCTCCCCCACTCCACCCCTTCCCCCAAGCGTTTGCGTTCACACCTGTTTAAACACAGGGTAGCGAGCCCAGCCACACACCTCATGGGACAGTTCTGGGTCTGCGCGAAGCAGGCTGCGTTTGGAGCCTGCTTGTGCTTAGCTGCACTTCCAGCGGCGGGTGGTGTGCAAACAAAGCCGACTGTCGGGAGCGGCACCCCCAGTGTGCTGGCTAGACCGGCTGTGGGTCCAGTGGCCTTCCATGGTAGCCTGCAGTCTAATATATATTCCTGGGCTTTACCCAAGCTCCCCACATCTTGTGACTGGCCATGAAAGGGTGTTTGGGTTGGGCGACTTTAGTACTGGGGGAGGATGCTGGATTGACACCCTCTGCGTTAGCCACATGGGGAGCCGCAGTGCCAGCTTGCCCTGTCCAGCCCGTTTGCCTCCCCGTTGTCCTGGAGGGACCCGTACTGGGGACAGCAGCGTTCAGCTGCGTGTCCATTGCGCACACAGCAGTGGCACGATGGGCAAAACATGAGAGAGGCTTTTAACCTGCCAGACCCTCTGTATTCCCTCAGGTTCCGGAGTCGTCTGGTGTCGGGTGCTCCCCTGCAACGCCTGATCCCTCCCAAAGGTGCCCTGGATGGATTGCACTCTGCTGTAGGATGTATTTACTTCCCTCCTTCTTCCTTGGACGTCATCCACAACTTGCCTCATCTGATGGTGCCTCCACCCTCCACCATGAATGATGATCAGAGACTACACAACAATGCGGTAGCTTGGCTGGTCTGCTCGGGGGTCTCCGTTCTAGCCAACGCCTGGGGGATTCTGAGTGTAAGTGCCAAGCAGAAGAAATGGAAGCCCCTGGAGTTCCTTATCTGCACGCTGGCGGGGACTCACATCCTTAACATAGCCGTCCCCATCACTATGTACGCTGCGATCGAGCTCCGGCGGCGGCGCTCAGACTATGAATGGAGCGAAGGCCTCTGCAAGGCCTTTGTCTCCACCTTCTATACCTTAACCTTGGTCACCTGCTTCTCAGTCACCTCCCTGTCCTACCATCGGATGTGGATGGTCCGCTGGCCAGTCAATTACAGGTAAATTTCTCTCTCCCTGCAAAACCATGGGTTTCCTTTTCTGCCTCAGTCAAATTTTGATTTTTAAAACATGATAAAAATCCATCCCATGCAATGACATGCATTCCAAGGTGGCATGAAGTAAGTCTAGAAATGGGGAACCCCTTGTATTTAGAAATGGACTGAACCTGACGCCCAGCTGTGAGCAGCACAAACATGGTTTCAGTTAAAATCTCAGCTTTTAGAATGAGCTAATCCATTGCCATGTTCTGCGAACATGATGGACTGGAAAGCTGGCTCCTTCTGCACTTCCCTGCTGAGATGAGAGTCCAGAGTTCTGTATTTCCCTCTCTACAGAGCCGGAATTAGGATGATAAAAAACGCTTTTCAGCTCCCCCTTAAAACAGCAAATGTCCCATCTGAATTCTGCACACAGAGGCAGAGCAGTGTTAGGCCTGATATTTTGGAGAAAGAATATTAAGGCAGTTGATCAAAGAATTATCCTTAGGAGTTTATTCTTTCAGCTTCTGTAATGCAGCAAAATCATAAACACTCAGTACAAGTTCCTGCTTTCTCTGATATTTTTGGGTCTAATCCTCTTTTATCACTTCCTCTGCAATTTAAATACATTTCCTCTAATATCTCCTTGTACTGTAGAATTTTTTCCTGCTAGGGTGGATTCCAACTACCCCACTGGGAAGCTGGTCGCACTGTGTGTGCTCCCTGGGGCTTTCGGGGAATTGTGAAAACTACCTGGCCAAGAGGAGCCATGCGATTCCCAGCGCGTGAAATCTGCTGCAGCCATCCCCCAGAATCCTTTTCTTCTAACTGGAGAGATGTTTACATAAAAAACAACTTAGTGTCTGTCTCATTCTCATTTCTTGTACATGCCCTTGGAACCGTTCTCCGAATATTCCTTTTATCTCCCTTTAACCAACTGCTTTCCATTCGCTCTCTCGCCTTAGCCCTTTTTTGTTTTATTCAGAGGCTGCAGGAGTAGTTACTTATAAATAGATGACAAAATATCTGATGGGCGCCTTCAAAAGAGCATAAAGCAAAACAAAACTGACTCTTCCCTTGGAGTTTATAGGCAGAGCTTCAATCCTGGAGAAGCTCTATAGAAATGTTTCTCAGTTTGGAGCCCTGTCAGTCATGCCAGCCTGAGCCTGAAACTACAATGCTTCCCAGCAGCACTCAGCTAGGTGAGACCCTGGCTGGATTTTACCCCTAGTTCTCCAGATTGAATAGATCCGCCAAGATCAGCAGCCTCTATCGTCTGTTGGCTTTTGGCAGCCTGTATGAAATCAGCTGATGGCTCCAGTGAGAGTCCGCTGCTGAGACGAAGGTATTTCCGACATGTCATTTGAAGTTCTAAGCAGCAACCAAAGAGCTGATCCCGTACGAGCACGCGTCTGTTTAAAGTAGGGAAAACGCTGCTTTGGGTGTTTTTACGACTGGACAGAATCGCCACAGTGTGAAACGATGAAATATGAATAATGCTGCTCTCCTGGGCTGGGTCTACACAGCAGCTGGGAGGCCTCACTCCCCGCTTGGGTGGACATACGCACACCAGTCTGACTCAAGCGGGTGCCTAAAAATAGGAGTGTGGCCTCATGGCTAGGGCTGGCTGGCTGCGTCCGCACAGGGGCCAGGCAGGGTCGTGCCCGGGCAGTTAGCCCCTGCCGCCACCACAGCCACATGCTCTTCTTAACACGCTGGTTCAAGCTGAGCTGCCGGGCCTGCCTGAGCTAGGCCTCACCCCTGCCAGCGCTGTGTGGACGGAGCCTTTTCTGTTCAGCAGCCTGGGGGAGCCAAGCGTAGCAGCCGCCCAGTCAGCTCCTCCACTTGCCGAAGGACCCGGTTCTCTGGCTCCGTGAACAGCTTTACCGAAAGCAGCAGCCTGGACATGGGGCGGGAGTCGGGCTGGGCGGTGACACCCTCCCTGGAGCAATTGTATTTTTTCCAGTGACCGGAAATAATCTTGAACAGCACCACGGAGCTGAACCAGGCTGCCAGAAACCATCCCCTGGCCGCAGCACTCGGGGCGGCAGGACAGGGTACGGATCCAGCCCCGCACAGAGAAACCCCAGGGCGGCGAACGTCCGAACGGCACCGCCAGGCCGGAGAGGCAGCGCAGCCTCCCCATCCGGAGCCTGGTGCTGCGGGTCAGGGCAGCAGGGTCTCGGGCTCTTGCGGGCTCGTGTGTCGGTGAAGTGCGGGCCCGGCCCTGGGAGGTGTGCGGAGCCGGTGGGAGTTGAAGTCGCTCAGCACCTCGCAGGACTGGGCCCTGTGTTTGTAGCCAGCTGGGAGAGCGCTCGCCCCTTGCGTGCTGCCACGCTCTGCAGGGGCTGAAAGCAGGAGCGTGGCTTGGCTGGCGGCTGGAGAGGGGCAGTCACCACAGGCCCTGGTGGGCAGTGCCGCGGGGGAGGTGAATTCCGCATGGGCGGGTTATGTACCAGTTAGAAACCTGACAAGCGCTTGTGACGCAAGGTTGGAGATCGATTGGGAAGGGCCCCGAGCTCTGAACAGCTGGCCAGGGTCTCTGCATAGTGTGCCCAGCTCAATTCCTCCTCCAGCCAGTTTGACACAAGCACAAATAATTCACGCCCTCTTCCTCCTCAGCAGGGGGTCAGGGTCAGCCTCCCACCCGGTCCCGGCTCTGCTGCCTGCTGGGCTGAGCACCATGGTGGCTCACGAGGCCGTTTTCCTTTTGAGCTTTGTATCCCGAGAGCCTTTGCCCTGGTGGTGACATGGCATTTGGGGGCAGTCGATACCTCTGGGTCTTCTCCAGCCAGCGCTGCCCTGCGGGTCTCATCTGTACCCAAGGAATGCTGTCTTGTCTCCCCCCACCACTGCAGGTTGAGCAATACCAAGAAACAAGCTGTTCACACTGTGATGGGCATTTGGATGGTGTCCTTCATCCTTTCCACCTTGCCAGCAGTCGGATGGCATGACACCACCGAGCGCTTCTACGCCAGGGACTGCCGCTTCATCGTCACCGAGATCGGCCTGGGCTTCGGCGTCTGTTTCCTGCTCCTCATCAGTGGCAGTGTGGCGATGGGCGTCGTCTGTACCAGCATCGCCCTCTTCCAGACCTTCTCCGTCCAAATGGGGCACAGCATCGACAGGAACAAGTTCAACGTACCTGCCATCGTGGTGGAGGACGCGCAGGGCAAACGGCGCTCATCCATCGACGGCTCTGAGTCCATCAAGACCTCTCTGCAAATCACCTACCTGGTCACCGGGATCGTGTTCATTTATGATTTCCTGATGGGCTTTCCCATCCTGGTGAGTGATGGCTGGGGGGCAGGAGGGGTTGGATTAGTGACTTGTGCGCAAAGGGGGAAAGCTGCCCAGGCTGATACAACCCCGGACCGGCGGTTTCTGGCGTCCAGAGGGGGCATTTCAGGCAACGTTCGCGCAGGGTAAATGCTGCAGCACAGGCTTGTCCCTGGGGCACTTGCTGCTGGACTGTGGAAAGTTGCCATTCCAATCCCACAAGGGCATGGGGGTAGTTTGGGTGCTGGCTGCAGGTTTGGTGGTGCCATGGAAATCATGACTTGGTGTTTGTGCTCCCCAGGCATGGGGCTCTCTTGTTGCTACACTGGGACAGTGCCGCTGTAGGATGTTTCGTTAACAAAGAATAATCAAGTGACCTGGGGTTTTCTGAAATGGCTGGGTACTGGAGCGAATTGGGCCGGGGAGGAAATTAATCAGACTCTCCCCTGCCACCCGCTCCTTGGTGTCCTGCCGCCGTTCCCAGAAATGCCGGGGTGTCACGGAGTTCTGGGCGATGCTCTGGAACTGCTCCCCATGAAGTCAGTCAGGACTCTGGGGTAGTCGCTTCTGTGAGCAGCCTGTCTTCAGGACACACAGCTCACACAGCTTCCACCTTCCTGGGTCTGACCTCGGAGCATTCAGCATCCTCTGCCCTCCGTGGCTTCCCACAGCGAGTCCGCTCAGGGGTGCTCCTGGGGAAGCCAGAGGGTCCCACCCCAACCGCAGTCAGACGTGACTCTCAGCCAGCCAGTAAAACAGAAGGTTTATTAGACGACAGGAACATGGTCTAAAACAGAGCTTGCAGGTGCAGAGAACGGGACCCCTCAGCTGGGTCCATTCTGGGGGCAGTGAGCCAGACAACCACGTCTGCACTTCACTCCATGTCCCACCAGCCCCAAACTGAAAAACCCCTCCAGCCCCTCCTCCTCTGGGCTTTGTTCCTTTCCCGGGCCAGGAGGTCACCTGATTCCTTGTCTCCAACCCTCAGCTCTCACCTTGCAGGGGGGAAGGGCCCAGGCCATCAGTTGCCAGGAAACAGGGTGTCGGCCATTCTCTGTGTCCAGACCCTGCACACATGCCCTCTAGGGCACTGCAATGATCATACACCCTCCCCACCACCTAGATACTAAGAACTGCCTAGGGAAACTGAGGCACCCCCACACTATTCAGAGGAAACATTAAGAACAGCCCTCACGGGGCCAGAGCGCAAGGCCGTGCTCTGAGGACAAGCTGAGGAGGGGTTCTCTCCCTGCCTGTGTGGAAGGGGAGCTCTGTTGCCTCTGGGGGATTGTAGCCCTCATCCCCTGGCCTAGGGCTGTAATAGCTCCTGGCCTAGAGCCGCTCTGTGCTGTGGAAACCACTACCCACACCCGCAGGTCCACAGGGCCTTGGCCCTGGCCTCTAGCAGATCCCCCGAGAGCTGTGGGTTCTGGGGCAATGGGGCAAACCCCACACCCTCAAGAGAGGGGCCTGGGGATGCTGCTTGAGGGGAACCTCACTGAATGTCCTGCCTCCCGGGCAGGTTTCTCCACATGAGGAATTCCATGATAAGGTCCCACGTATTCTACCAGCGGTGCGAGTGCAGACAGCCGGGCTCCCTGAGGAAGCTCTGGGTCCCCACTCAGTACCAGTGTCTGCACCATTGCTAGGGAGCCGGGATCCTGCAGCTCTTTCCTGGGCACGGGTTTCACTCCTGCTCTGTGTGACCACACATTGCTCCCGCAGCTCTCCGCCTGCTAGGACCCGGACCAGGGGTTTCACTCCTGCTCTGTGTGACCACACATTGCTCCCGCAGCTCTCCGCCTGCTAGGACCCGGACCTGGGGTTTCACTCCTGCTCTGTGTGACCACACATTGCTCCCGCAGCTCTCCGCCTGCTAGGACCCGGACCTGGGGTTTCACTCCTGCTCTGTGTGACCACACATTGCTCCCGCAGCTCTCCGCCTGCTAGGACCCGGACCTGGGGTTTCACTCCTGCTCTGTGTGACCACACATTGCTCCCGCAGCTCTCCGCCTGCTAGGACCCAGACCTGCGAAACTGGCCTCTGAATCGCATGTGTGAGATCAGCAAGGAAGCAGCTTCACGCAGCAGTGGAGGGAGAGGGGGAGGCTGTGGGATTCGTGCCTTGAACTTTGGCACTTTTCTGGAGTTCTCTGATTCAGAGTTTCCACTGCTAATAAATCACAGGGAGTCTGCAGGGCTGTGTGGGACAGAGGGAGCGCTGGGCCTGGAGCGAGTGACGTCCCACGTTGTCAGGGCGGTCGAGCGGGGTTGGTGCAGAGACAGCAGGACCGATGTGCACGCCCGGAACCAAATGGGCTGGGCGCACAGTGAGGAGGAATGTAGCCAGAGCCAGAATATGTGATGAATTGAAAGGCTAATAAATGGCAAAGATGGTTTAATGCAGAATAATGATGTCTTTGAAGTGCCTTTCTCATACACTCCTGTCTGCGTAATAGAAGCGGAGGGACAGAGGGAAGGCAGTGTGTTGGGAGCGATTGATGAGGAGCTGGGAATTAAAGATCAACCTTAATGAAGAGAGGAGCTGGGACGCTGGCAAGTCTGATCCTGCAGCCTGAGCATTGTCAAATCCACTCAGCACAGAGAGTTACTGAGGCAGGGGCCAAGTGCATAGTGCAGCTGCCCCATCTGCTTGTGGGGGGGTTGGGGAGCCTTGTGGGGGGCAGGGTGGGACGAGTTTGTGGTTAAGACACTGGGCTGGACCTCTGGGGAATGTGGTTCAGTTCCCAACTCTGCCACTGCCTCCCTGCCTGACCTTGGGCAAGTCTCTCTCTGCCTGCATTCCCATTGGCAGCATGGGGCAGTAGCAGTGCCCAGCCTTGTGGGGTGGGGGGAGGGATGCCAGTGAGGGACCCACAAACCACGGTGGTGGGGAGGGCATGTGAGTACATCGATAGGGAGGAGTGCAGATGAATTCCTGCAGCTTTAGGGCAAGGAAAGCGAGGCCCCAGAAGGGAGCAGAAGCAATGTGAGGCCTCAGATTGGTCCTGCCCCAGCACTTCCCATGTTTGGCTTGTGATGGAGAATGGAGGCGAGTGGGTCCCATGCCATGGGGCGTGCCAGCCCCTCCTCTCCATCACAAGAGGGGGCTGTGAGCACAGGACTGGAGTCAGGGACGGCTGCTGGCTCCTGGCATCTGGAGTTAGCCAGAGAAAGGGGCGTGGAACTGAGAACAGTCTGGGCAAGTGCCCGCGATGCTTTAGTCTGTGGCTGTCATGTATAGTGGGGATGGGAATCCTGTGGCTTTTAAGATTATGCTGGACATGCGGCAGGCCCAGTGTTGACGTCCCGCAGCTGGGGGTGATAAGTGTCTGTATTTACTGCATGGGAAGCAGCCTATGAAATGGCCAGCAGAGGCGAGTGATGCAGATTTCCCTGCTTCGGCTGTCCCATTTATGCATTTGGTTCTTTTGGTAGCTGGTGCAGCTCCTCTAAGCAGGACTCTGTGTGTATCTTTGGCTTCTCTGGGAGTGGCCGCTCTGGGGAGAGAAGGGAGAAGCATTGGCAGGACCCGTGTAAGGCGAGAATACGGGCACGTGCATTGCAGTGGATGGAGAGCTGCTGCGGGGAAGCTGCTCTGTGAGGCCTTTTGCTAAAGCCCTTTGAAAAGGCCCGGCCTTGTGCAGGCAAAACACGTGTGGCCTGGCTGAGATTTCGTTCCCTGAGCTGCCAGCTCCTTCGCACCTTGCCAGCAAATAATACCCGCTCTTGGAAGCCATGAGTCAGTAATTGGGGGCCCCTGTGGAGAGTGTGACTGCATGCCACCCTGGAGATGTTGCCCCAGGTGGGCGCTGGGGTGCAGTTCACCCTGGTGGGGCAGAGCTTTGCAGCCTGCTAATAACATGCCAGTGCTCCTGAGAACCCTGGTGTGCTGGCCTTGAGGGCTATTAATAAATGACGAGCTAAATCTGTGGAGGGTAATTTGCCTTTCCAGGCCCATAGCACCCCCGTGCTGTAGGAGCCCCTGCGTTTGTGCTATTGAGAAAGCAGCCAGATGGTAGTGGGCTAAGAGGGGGCCTAGGAGCCAGAAACCGCAGAGCTCCATCTCTCCCAGCTTCCATGGCCCCTGCCACCTTAGTACCGGAATCCCTTATCCCCACTCTGCCACTGACTGAATCTGTGTCCTTAGGCAAGTCCCTTAATCTGCCAGGGACACAGAGGCTGGCTTCATGAAGTGAAGCACCCCATCGGGGTTGGAGGACTCGTGGAGGAGAAGCAGGGATTCCTCATTTACAGACATTCTTCTCGCCTGGCTCAGTGGGTGGGCAGGGCAATGCTAGCCCTTCTGAATCCCTCTGCCCGTTTCTCTGGCACTCACCTTCCCTGCCTGTCCCTACGCTCCCATTGCTCCTCTCGCCGGAGAGACGAGGGGCCACGTTCGGCTCTCAGTGGCGCTGGTGTGACTCTGGAGCTGCACAGCTGATGTCCTATCGTTGTGAGCTATGTACAGTTAACGCACAGTGGGGCGGGGGCAGTCGGAGGGGGGTGGGAGACTGGCAGGCCAGGGTAGGTGTCGTTGGTAGGCTGTGCTTACAGGCAGCCAGGGGGATCCAGTGCTTTTCTGCACCGCCAGTCACTAATTCAGCAACCTGAAATTATATTTCATGCTTCATTAGATGCCTACTTTGAATGCAGCAAGTTTATTGTTCCTGCTTTAAATCTGGCCTGATTCCACTGGGGGTTGGCACCTTTTTGTGTATGGTTTTTCTTTTCTCTCTCTCTTTCCACCTGTCACTAGCAGGATCATCGCCCTGTGCTGCCCCATTCATCCTCCCACTGCTGCACCTGCCCCTTCAGGTGCATCCACAGCTTGTACCTCGGGAACTGGCTGGGCACCACCCGCCCTGTGTGGCTAATGCGGGGACAGTTCTGTAGCCAGGACTGCTGTTAGGGCACGGCAGGCTCCTTTTGTGCCTGAAGGTCCGGGGCGGGGCCCCTCTCCCCGTCTTCCGAGGCCCTCTGCACCTCGTGAGATGTGTGCCCCAGAC